TCACCTAGTCTATTCTGGTCCAAGTGCAAAGAGATTGTAGACAGTTGAAGCTTCACCTTAGGAGCTCACTCTGCCTTTCTCTTTCTTTGCCTCATAACCCTCTATATATCTTCTTCTTCTTCTTCTTTAAGCTTCTATTGTGAATTGAGTGATAGTTTACATGGCACAACATCAGTTTTGCAATCAACCAATTATATTTTGTTTCATTGCAATGATAACAATCCCCTTCATGCGCTGTGGATTAGTTTACCTCTATTCCCTCTTCATTTTATTTTATGGTTTTGAGGTACACAAAACACACAGAAATATATATTCGTTTAAACAACCAAAGGGCACATTTTTCAGACCAGCCTCCAGCCTACGAGCAAACAATCTTACTCTTTCCATGGGTCTAGAGTCCTCAGCTGCTGTATCTCTCCATGTCTTCATCTCTGCCTCCATCTCTGGTGTTGCTGCTTCTCTGGATAGAATTCCACATTCTGCTCAGGCTCTTATCCCTTGAAAGTCTTAAGGTCCTCTGTTCCTGGAATGTAAGCTTAACTACTACCCCCTTTATATTACAAAATTTCTACCTTTACAGTTGTGACAATCACAATTAATCATGATACCAACCTCTTACTATTGAGTCATAAGAATCTTATCCCCAACTTCTTTCACCAGACCTGTCTAGACAAGATAAAAGCCATTCAGTGGGAATTCTACCTTCCTCCATACACTCTGAAACTAAACTCCCTCTTAAAAACTTGTAAGCCTTTATAGTCCCCACCCCACCCCCATTTTAGGTAGCCAATGTCTAAGCTGCCTGTCCCTATCACCCTGCATACAGAGGGGGTACGATGAAGACTTCTTTCCTCTCAGTTGATATATTGAGCTACTGCATCCATAAGTATAATTCATCAAATTGTAGCAAATTACACTTGTTTCCTTAGTCAAAATTTGTTTATCTTCTTTTAGTGGAGCTGTGATCTTTAAGCCATTGAACTAGTCAAATGGGTACTATCTGCAAGTTTGGGCATTCTTGTGTGTCTCCCCTCACTTAATAT